ACCGGCGTACCACGATAAGCGACATGACCAGTGACCCAACAAGCACCTGATCAAACACACCTGTCCAGACACACCAATATTAGTGATAATTAGGAGACGACACCTGTCGGCCTGGGACCTCCAATAAAAGGGCCCTCGAGCCCCTTCCAGGCATCAGTGAAACAGACAGAAACAGAACCCAGAGTCAGACACACTCGTCACATGTCGAGATCGGGAGGGGAACTTCCCTTCCCAGCACCTAGGCTCCCACAGGAGACAGAGACCAGTGCCCGCCGGGATCACTCTCTCCAGGAGTACCAGGCCCTGCAGTCAGAGTCCCCACCTGCTGGGCCTCCCTCAGGTCACACGTGAGTCATTGTCAGGGTGATCCATAGGGCGAGTACTTATGAGGGAACTGTATCCATTTCATGATTGTGTCCAGGAGTCATTGTCTAGTAACGTCAATTTAATGATTTATTAATGTGTCAATGCCATTCATTTAACTAATAAACAGCTGTACTTAGAATTGTTGTTTGAAGATTTCCCCCAAGAAAATATTTACAACTCGATAACTATTTGGCCACGCTATCAACTTTCTTCACTTTACAATCCTATTATAAATTCTTCCTGTACCTTCTTGAGTGAGATTTTTCTCATTACAACTAGTTGCTGGAGTGATCCATCGCCATTAGCTAGATGCTGGAATATCCATCACACACTAGCTAGTTGGAGTGATCCATCACGCATTAGCTATTTGCTGGAGTGATTCATCACACACTAGCTAGTTGCTGTATTGATCCATCACACTAGCTAATTGTTGGAATGATCCATCACACACTAGCTAGTTGCTGTATTGATCCATCACACTAGCTAATTGTTGGAATGATCCATCACACACTAGCTAGTTGCTGGAGTGATCCATCACACACTAGCTAGTTGCTGGAATGATTCATCATGCATTAGCTATTTGCTGGAGTGATTCATTACACACTAGCTAGTTGCTGTATTGATCCATCACACACTAGCTAATTGCTGTATTGATCCATCACACCAGCTAGTTGTTGGAGTGATTCATCACACACACATTAGCTAGTTGCTGGAGTGATCCATCACACACTAGCTAATTGCTGTATTGATCCATCACACCAGCTAGTTGTTGGAGTGATTCATCACACACACATTAGCTAGTTGCTGGAGTGATCCATCACACACTAGCTAGTTGCTGGAATGATTCCTCATGCATTAGCTATTTGCTGGAGTGATTCATTACACACTAGCTAGTTGCTGTATTGATCCATCACACCAGCTAGTTGTTGGAGTGATTCATCACACACACATTAGCTAGTTGCTGGAGTGATCCATCAAACACTAGCTGGTTGTTGGTGATCCAAAAGAACATAAGAATGGAGGAAACTGCAGCGGGCCTATTTGCCCATACCGGGTAGTCCCATTTACACCCAACCCCAATCGCTCATATATCCATCCAACCTATGTTTGAAACTACCCATCGTGTTCGAGATAAAGATGATGTTTGGCAACTTGTTCCACTCATCCACTACTATATTTCCAAACCAATGTTTACCTATCTCGCGCCTAAATCTAAATTTGTCCAATTTAAAACCATTGCTACGAGTTCGCTCGTGGTTGGATGGTTCGAGTACCTTTGTTAAATGAAGTTCGAGTACCTCTGTTATATTGTTTGAGTACAATCACACACTAACTAGTTGCAGGAGTGATCCATCACATACTAGCTAGTTGCTGGAGTGATCCATCACATACTAGCTAGTTGCTGGAGTGATCCATCACATACTAGCTAGTTGCTGGAGTGATCATCACACATAGCTAGTTGCTGGAGTGATCCATCACACACTAGCTAGTTGCTGGAGTGATCCATCACACACTAGCTAGTTGCTGGAGTGATTATCACACATAGCTAGTTGCTGGAGTGATCCATCACACACTAGCTAGTTGCTGGAGTGATCCATCACACACTAGCTAGTTGCTGGAGTGATCCATCACATACTAGCTAGTTGCTGGAGTGATCATCACACATAGCTAGTTGCTGGAGTGATCCATCACACACTAGCTAGTTGCTGGAGTGATCCATCACACACTAGCTAGTTGCTGGAGTGATTATCACACATAGCTAGTTGCTGGAGTGATCCATCACACACTAGCTAGTTGCTGGAGTGATCCATCACACACTAGCTAGTTGCTGGAGTGATCCATCACACACTAGCTAGTTGCTGGAGTGATCCATCACACACTAGCAAGTTGCTGGAGTGATCCATCACACATTAGCTAGTTGCTGGAGTGATCCATCACACACTAGCAAGTTGCTGGAGTGATCCATCACACATTAGCTAGTTGCTGGAGTGATCCATCACACACTAGCTAGTTGCTGGAGTGATCCATCACACACTAGCTAGTTGCTAGTGATCATGCTGGCTGGAGTGATCCATCACACAGCTAGTTGCTGGAGTGATTCATCACACATTAGCTAGTTGCTGGGTGATCCATCACACACTAGCTAGTTGCTGGAGTGATCCATCACACACTAGCTAGTTGCTGGGTGATCATCACACATAGCTAGTTGCTGGAGTGATCCATCACACTAGCTAGTTGCTGGAGTGATCCATCACACACTAGCTAGTTGCTGGAGTGATCCATCACACACACACACACACACAATAGATAGTTGCTGAAGGGATCCATCACACATTAGCTAGTTGCTGGAGTGATTCATCACACACACACACACACACAATAGATAGTTGCTGGAGTGATCCATCAGACATCAGCTACTTCGAGTGATCCATCACACATTAGCTAGTTGCTGGAGTGATCCATCACACATCAGCTACTTCGAGTGATCCATCACACATTAGCTAGTTGCTGGAATGATCCACCACACATTACCTAGTTGCTGGAGTGATCCATCACACATTAGCTAGTTGCTAGAAGAATCCATCACACATTAGCTAGTTGCTGGAGTGATCATCATACACACACCCCCTTCCTACTCCACATATCAAGAAGCACTCAACACACTGACCCTCTCGGCTCTCACTGACCATCACCACGACCTCATCTGCAAATTTGGTAAGAAGCTTCTGCACCATCCTCCACACCGGCTCCTACTACCACCCGAGATACCTCGTCCGAGAATTGCTGAATGATCGCTATAAGAACAGCCCAGTCCCAACCATTGTAAAAATTATCAATAACTTGTAATCAACCAGTGTATTCACTCCCAGTCAATCTTACTTTTTGCACTGTCACTTTGTTGAAATGCCCTGTAGTTTGAGCTTCTCCCCACCTAGTCATTATATATCATATTTGTATCACTTATGTTACTTGTATATTATTTGTAAATCAAGAGACTCATTTCCCAATTATGTAAATATTTTCAGCCTTCCGGCTGCCATGCTCCTTCAATAAACCGTTAATTATTATTATTATTAGCAAGTTGCAGGAGTGATCCATCACACACCCATTTGCTAGTGTGATCCTACAAAAAAGAATTTGTTTCTAGAATGTTCGCTGAAATACTCACTACTTTCCGTTAAGTCTTCCCCTTCCCACCTTTTACCGGAATTGATTGATTCAACGAATGCAGTGCAATGGAGTAAGCGAGTGAATGAAAGTGAACGAGCGTGCTTCAGTGTGCGTGCACATGAGAGAGAGAGAGAGAGAGAGAGAGAGAGAGAGAGAGAGAGAATGGTTTTATAATAAATGTCCCAAAAGGTCCCAGATAGACCAGTTTTTTACGTTTCACGTGGAAAAAAAAGTGTGCGCGCGCGTTATTTAACCAGTAGCAGTTTATGACGTTATGTACAAGAATGAAGTTTAATGTAAACGCAAAATTAAGTGGAATCAGTGAAATAATAAAAAAAACTGAGGTAATGAAAGGCGAAAGATCGTCAAGTAATGTAAAGTGGTGGGTAAAACTATGGGTAAAAAGTTGAATACTTAGGGAGACAACGAACCGTTATGGAGTGCGTGTGTGTGTGTGTGTGTGTGTTACACCAATTAGTACTTTAACTTACACATTCATACATACCAGTCAAATACGGGTATGAAAGAGGAGGATTGCCAAGATTGAAGCCGAATTTGATGGGGGTTTGAACATAGACTGGATGGTGTAAAATGAAAGAATTGTGTGGAAATGATAATGGTGGCCGAGTATATAAAACGCACAGACAGACAGACGGGGCATAGTTTATTTATGAAAATATGCATGGATGGTACATTTAAGCAAATTTATTCATAATCTCTCCATATTAGATTAACCTTGCAAAAAAACAAATTTCAAATTGCAATTAAAATATTAATTTGTGTACCATAGAATAACATTATTGATCAAAACTACGTCTAAAGCAAAAGAGAGAGAGAGAGAGAGAGAGAGAGAGAGAGAGAGAGAGAGAGAGAGTGTGTGGGTGTGTGATAATATTAATATTGACAACACTAATCATGATATCTTCATTTTTTACGAGAAAAATTTAACTGTTTTTACTACTATAATTCTACAGCAACTGTACACTGTTTTACATTTACGAAAGGAGGTTATGCCAATGTATTATTTTAAGGATCTAATACTCATCTGTCCATAAAAATCAATTAACAGTCAAATGTGCTTATGTGACAGATCCTGTAAAACGGCGTGAAGTGTTATGTGAAGCAGCATAAGAATTGTACTGTATACTATCAAATCACGCACATGTACTGTCAAACTTTTCGTACATACCATAGTCACCTAAGTAATACTTGCCACCTTAACATGTCATTAAAATCAAATCTCGCAGACATCTTAATAAATGCGGAGGTCGGTGCTTGCCCTCTGGTATCAGCTGAGCCAGTCTTGATCTCGTCTAGCGCTGATGAATTCACCATCTCTCGTAATGTTTATTACCGCACGTGGTCACATAGCCGTCACCAACTGTCAAACAAACCTAAATCCCTTTAAACTGTTTTCACGACCATAAGTTACTTACAAAGTTATCAATACACTAAGTACTCACATTCGGTAGGAGTTAATGGCCTTGGACATAGTGACGTCGAGGGCTGACCCAGGTCATCGGCTGTAAGTTCTTGTTATTTTGGTGTTTTACAACCAGGAGCCCCTTCAAATGATGTTACTTAATGGCAGGTGCCCTAGGACGGCAGATGGTAACAAGCCAGGGACGGGCAGCCAGCCAGCCAGAGCCCAGTCGCGTACCCAGCAGAGGCAGCTAGCTCAAGGGGGCAGCGGGAGGAAGTTGTGATGGGCGGGTATTGATCAAGCCACCACCAACCACACACACACAATCAATGATGGTTGATAAGTCCAGCAGCCAGGCCACTCCAGCACTCCCACCTCACGCACCCTGCCACTAACCATCCTCACTCACTGGTCTTAATGCGTCCCTCTTCTCCCTAGGGGTTATGAAAAACACGGGACCCTCACCGACCTCTAAGGGCCCACGCTGTGGGTCCTGACCACCTACTACCATCTACCACCACCATCACAGCCCTAATCTAAGCCTCAAGCACTTTGCCTTCCCTGAGACGACAGGAAGAAGACCCAGGTGTTGGGTCAAGGAGGGTGAGACAAGGGCACTAATGGGGACGTTTTGGCTTACATGGCCTACAGTGGTTGACACCCCGTCCGCCACACCACGCTGGGGCGATCGCTGCCTCACGAGCTAAACAATGCGACACAACACCGTGACCACCACACACTGCGCCAAAGCACGTCGCGATCACAGAAGGGACAAGAGCGGGACGGAGCTGAGATTGTGGCACCGTCCGAGTTGCCACCGCACGCCTGACTGAGGGGCGACGCCCCCGTTTACTGGGGAGGTGCTATGGAGGAGGGGGCGGGAGGACGGTGAAGGGGAGGGGGAGGTGCTACAAAGACAGTATGACTCACGCGTCAACCCCTACGGCCTCGGTCACCCTAGACGGTGATTGTCACTTGGTAAAGTGGTGGTTATCATGCCTGGTGACCGCCGAAACGGTTGGAGGAGCTAGCGTTAACGGAGACGACGGTGTCCTGGCTGCCACGAGCCACGATAACGTAGTGGTCTCACGTCCCAGCATGCTGGCTGCCGACGGTCGCCATACGTAGTCCCTTCCCCAGCCTACCCTCTCCCTAGCATCATGGAACCACACAAATATGCCGAAAGGATCAATGACGAGTTCTTCCATTCCCTCGTGTTAGTGAGCATTCACAAAGAAGAGTGTGGGCGTACGGGCGTGGCGGAGGCGTGGAAGGGTGCCGGGTAAGACGTAATGGTAGTGGTGGTGACGGCGGCAGTTTGGGAGCAGCAGCAGCAGCAACGATCAATACAGCAGCAGCAGCAGCGCCGCACCCACCCCCACCATCCTCCCTCCAGCCACCATGTGCCGCCACGCACAACAACAACACTACCACCACCACCACACAAACACAACATACTTCATCAACAAAACAAAAGAAGCATCCCTTCTCTCTTTCATTTCAGAAACATTGCCCACACCCGGCATCGACAAGCGATCAAACAAGAACCCTGTGAACCATTAACATGAGGTTCATTCAGAGAGTCTAGTATTCGTATATAAGGGGGAACTAACATTATCCTCTCCACTCTGTTTAGCCCAACTATGAGACAAAAACAGCGGCCTCGGTGCACGTGTAGCACCTCACCTGGGAACAAATGTAAGAAGCTCCGCCCCTGGGCCTTCTCACACTTTCTACTTGGCCCTCCGTCACCTTTGCCAAAATCAGTGAATGTCAAGGCCGCGCCCCGTCCTTCCTTCCTCTCTGCCACGCCCCTTCCTGTCTTATGCCAGCAGGATGCCTCACATCACATAGCTATTGGCTGTTCCTTCATCAAGGGCCGGTTTTTTATGTAAAAGTATAGTACCTAGTCGTCTCAATATGGCCCACAAGTTGTCAGTATATATCAATCCCTGTCTATTTGCTTCTTAACTGAACCCATCCACCTTTAAACCGTACACTTCGCCCCTCAATGGCGGTGGGTGGATGCGGTAAGTGGCCCATGTATGAAAGTCAGGGCTCCTGGGTGGGCGTGGTAGTGTGGAGGAGGAGGGTGTGGGAGTGCCATCATCCACATCCAGGATAGACATCACGCGCCGTACCACTACCCCCCAGCAGGAGAGGCCCGCATGCTCTTCCTCAGGAGTCAGCTAACCCCGCCCACACGAAATAGGACGTACTTCACCCCACCATCCTCCCTGAACACATGGTCATGCCTTCAAGAATGAACCGCATCATGTTCCTACATCTGTGGCCGTTACGTCCGCCCAGGAGCACGACGGGGCACCTCCCGTAACACCTTCATTACCTTCAACGGACTATTTTCCTCTCTGACACAATCCATTTTCTCTGAACTTCACGAACTCTGACAAGTTTTTCCATCACTTGCAAACTTCACCTTCGTTCTTCGTTGTGTGAGCTATTCCTGGCCTCACGATTTCCACCATCCGTTCTACTTCAGGCTGCCCGTCATCAAAACACACCCTGCCAACACTGACTTTCATTTTGCATGTTGTTCCAGGGGGGGGGGGGGTGTGTGCTAGGGGCACCCCCTCCCCCCTGCAGGCTAGCAGAAGCAGGAGGCCTGGGTTAAAAACAGTGTGTTGCCGGGCGGGCCCCGGGATGGCCGCCATCCTGACGCTACCACTGACCAAATGGAGATTTACTGCACACTAGAGTCACTTACCTAGTAGCCATGAACTTTTACACCTGTCAGGCCCTGTTTCGCCTTTCCCGGAACCTTATAACACAAGAAGAGGGACGAACATGTGAAAACGTTTTACCGTAAATAATCAGGAAAATTTCCTATATAGTGAAAATACAAAAACGAATGGAGAACAATAACGACCAAGTATA